TCTCACTCTGTCACACTCTCCCACCAATGCTGCCACACTTATCCTGTCACATTAATGCTCTAATCCCATCACACTCTGCCACACTCACACTGTCACATTAACCCCCTTAATTCTGTCACACTCCCTCCTCCAACCATGCCACATTCACCTTTCACACCAACCCTGTCCTGTGATACTCACACCCCCCAACTATGCCACACTTACCCTGTTAAATTAACCCCTCCAATCCTGTCACACTCATCCATCCTACCATGCCACTATTGCCCTGGCACACTTACCCTCACTTGCCCTGTTACACTCTCTCATCAAACCGTGTCATACTCACCCTCCCTAATTCTCTTGCACAACTCCCCCAACCCTGTCCCATTTACCTCCTTCATCCTATCACACTCTCCCTGCCACTAGTACCTCTTTACTCACCCTGTCACAGTCACCAGCTGAAGGCATATATCATACACACTTTATTATTTGGAAAATGATTTTTTAAAAGCTTTTTTGTTCAAACTAAATTTTCATTTTTGTTTTCAATAACCCCTTTACACCAGTACCTATGTATACACGACTGACAGGCTATGCAACCATACCCCACAATTGTGTATAAACGATTGGCATACTTGCAAATTAAATTTATTTATTGCAAATTAATTTATTTGCAAATTATGCTACAACTACAGCCATAGAGCTCACAATGTCGGGGCACAGGAAACTGCAACACTGCAAGCTTCTGAACAATGAATGCAGAAACGAACTCTCTGTATCCAGCACTGCAAGCCCGCCTTTCAATTTGGCGATTGCTATATGGCCTCATAATGTCTAGAGCCACCTCTGCACAGCCAATCACCTCCCTATTACCTTCACATGTTATCAGCTGCTGTAGTTATACCATTAACTCTCTCTGCCATCACTTACAAATTCCTCTGTCACCTCTTGTCTCATCTCCCGATTTTAACGTTTAGATTGTAAGCTCATGGGCAGGGTCCTCTACCTGTTGTATTGATCTGTTCTTAATGTGTTTGTCTTTTTCCCAATTGTACAGCACTGTGCAATTTGTTGGCGCTTTATAAATGCCAGTAATAATAGTAATAATAATACAACAAGCTTGAATTGTCTGACTAGAATATTTTATGTCAGAGTAAGGACTCTTGACCAAATTGTTGTAATGACAACTATCACTACTTCTTAAAAGGTTAGTTTCTTAGCATATTAACAAATGGTACCATAATATTGGGGATCGCTCATAAGCAAGATCATTTCAATGCATGAGTTATTTTAAAAAAATCCATAAAACATTAAAAAAACATTTGTCACTTGCATTATGTAGGCTTCAACATATATTTTCATATAATTAAAAATACGTTATACATGCAGTATTCATGTTCTTTAGGTGTGAACATCAATATAGTTTATATTTAACCCCTTAAGGATACATGACATGTGTGACATGTCATGATTCCCTTTTATTCCAGAAGTTTGGTCCTTAAGGGGTTAAAGTAAAAGGGGGAGTGAAATTAATGAAAAAAGTGAAGTGAAACAATAAAATGTAACTGTGTGTCATAGTTCAGTTAAATTTATGTGATTGCTTTGCGTATTTTCTGGTTGCTGCTAAATGCAGCAACAACCAATAGGTATTAATTCAATTAATTAAATATTTCAAATTTCTAGAAGTGAAAACAAGACAAGAACATGAGTTATATTTGTGAGTAAATGCCCAGAGAAGTAGTGAAAAACTAGCACATACTAGCCAATAAGTCTAAGTGTGATTATAATTAAAACATAATTACAGTGTATGCATACTAACATGTCTTTACAATGTCAAACCGAATTCTTGTGCTGAAGATGTCTATTTGACCTTAAAAATGGTAATACGTGAATAACTGATACTCAGTAATCATTAATCTAACATTTTTTGTAAACATATATTGTATCTTTCATCCACATTTTTTTTTAAATTGTAATAAGTTGATCATAAAAATTAAAACGCAATATGCAAACTTGAAATCAATCTAATAACCTATCTATCTTGGATACGTTTTTCAAATTATTTAATGTTTTTGGATGAACTTTCAAATGATTTATCTACAAATATTCCCATAGACTTTAATGGTGATATCTGTAGATAAATCATTTAAAATGTTTATCTAAAAATATTAAATAATAATGAAAAAAGCTCATCCAAAAATATTAAATCGAGAACAAATTATGAACAAAAAAAACCCAACAAATATTACTAAGCTATTCTTTTAGACATTCGGATATAGGAATCTCTTTAATATGCTTCTTATACGATTTAAATTTGTTAGATAAAAACTAACTTTCGAGTAGTTTATCTACATTCACTATTAAAGTCTATGTAAATGTTTGTAGACATCATTTGGAAGGTTTTTCTAAAAGATATGTATTTATCTGGAAAGCTTATTACATAAAATCTATTTTTTTTTCTTTAGATTTTCTATTTCCTCATAGGTTGGTGATAGCAAGGTTCGTGATCTTTACAACCACAGTTAAAACCAGTTAATAAAAATAATAAGATCTGGCTTCTTTTTCAAATTATCTTCTAAACATCACGCCAGTAGTAATGAGAAGTCAACAGTTAGTACTGCTGGTGCAGAGGTTATTTTAGTGATCAACAAACATATTGAGCATTATCTTAAGGGAAAGCACATACAAACAGAAATCACTGTCAACAGGATCTCTCTCTTTCTTGTACATCATTATTAAACATCATCCTCTCTAAAGACTCAAATAAAATGACAAGTATTAACTTACTCAAAAGAAATTATGAACCCACCCGTAAGGAAGTGTTAGCCGAGACAGAATATCCTCATTTTTTCTTCACATGAAAGAAGGTCATTATGTGGTGTCTCCAAAGTATATCATTATGTAATTATTCCTGCATCTATAGGGAATCTTTTCTTACTTAAAAAAATGGTTTTGTTTGTACTCCCAAAGAAATGTTTAAGAACAAAAGCATCCCATCCATCAATCAATATGCTCTTATATCAAGGAGGAAAAAAATTATTCTATATGTATGTTGAAAAAAAAGTAATATTTTTTTTCTCTTTGCTCTTCAACAAAGCTCACAATTTATGTCTGGTTACCAAGAACTATTGTGCTCCTTTACAATAATGTTTACTGTATTTAGCAAAATGCCAGCCTTATATTTTATTTCCATGTTAAATGGATGAACATTTAAATGACTAATAACAAGACACAGGATATATCAAAACATTTAAACACTGAACAATATATTTATGTTAGAAAATGAAACTGAGCTTTGAGAATACACATTAATTCAGAACTATCTGGTGGGAGAACAAATTAAACTAGAAAAGCTACAATTTCTGGGGAAATTGTGTGAAGTGTTCTTGCCTCCACCAGTAGTCTACAACTGGAGTGGGCGGAGTAACTGGGTGGAGTGGCTTGAGTAACTGTTGTTTGGTTGGAGTGGCTGGAGTAACTGTGGAAAGTTGAAGTGTGGTTCACTCACTCTACAGCAAGGGCAGAGAAGTGCTTTCAAATCTTTCAAATCCCTTGAACATTCCACCAACTGCCAACAGGAACTAATCAGCGTTTGCAGGAATCTATGATCTGCAAACTTTCTTTGTCTTAAGGATGAGCATAAACACCTAGCAAAGCTAGTGGGTATGCGGCAGCCTCCCGGAGTCAAATGCCAGAGCTGAAAAGGCTTGCGCTGTGCATCTGCACAGCAAAGCCTTTCAGCCAATCAGGTAATCAGGAGAGCCATGCTGAGCGCGGGAATTCTGATTGCCTCAGATTTTTAAAATTGGGAAACTGCGGATGGTTAGCACATCCCACGAAGTACTAAGGATAAATATTTCCCACAGTGTACAGGAATATAATTAAACATCTAAACACAAAATAAAACCATTCAAGTTTCCAATAGTACAGGGGAACAAGAAAAATGTTTAATAAATCATGAAGACATACAAGATAGATTTGAAACTTTGTATAAAACAGCTGAGCTGAAAACAAGGTAACAATGTATAGCATAGGAAAGTATTAAATGAACACTGGTACCATTCATCACAAATTGCAACAAAATAAGTTCAATAAAGAGAAAAAGAAATGTTGTAACAAGTCCCAGCAAACAGATTCTTTATGCAGGGAGTCCATGAGAATATCAAACTGACGAGACTACTAGCATCCAATTAGGTGGATCCTTGGTTTGTTGGTCTTGTCTTGGAGTACGGCTATAGTCTGTAAAAAACAAAACAGAGAACAGTTATCAAAAGGCTGAATAAGCACCAGATAACCTTATGTTTTAGAAAAACAAACTACCACCGGCAGGCAAAACCTTTAACTTGGAGGAGGGTGGGACGGGCGCTATTGCTAGGTGGTTATGCTCATCCCTAAGACAAAGAAAGTTTGCAGATCATAGATTCCTGCAAACTCTGATTTGTCCTCCGGGAGGCGTAACCACCTAGCAAAGCTAGTGGGTAGAATAGCACACACCTGCTGGTGGTCCTAAGAAACTGAAGGCGTTCAACTTCTGATGGCCTCCAGTAAAATCTAACAAAGGTTTTACTGGACAACCATCTCGCAGCTTTCAAGATAGTAAGGAGAGGAAGGCCCTTTCCTGCTGCTTTAGTAGCCAAGGCTCCCCTAATTGAATGGCTTTTGAACACAGAAACATCAATACCAGCTGAAGACATGGAGGAAAGTATCCAGCCTCTAATTGTATTAACCTTGGCTGGACGAAAGGGATTCCTTGATGTAATGAATAATTGACTGATATCATTTCTAAATACAGCAGAAAGTTGAAGGTACGATTGTAACAAACTGACTAAACATAAGCCTGGTTCGGAAGGATCTTGGACCAAGTCCAATTCTACCGGACCAGGAGAAAAATGGGATGTTTTTTGTCTGCCTTTTAGTATAATATGGAAACCTCCCGGGGTCCTGGACAACCAAGGATCTGAAATATGGATTTGAGTTAACTCTGTTCCTCTAGCTGCCAGGGCCAAGGACAGAAGAGAAGCCTACTTAATAGCAGTCCATCTTAAATCAATTTTAGCATTATCCAAAGACTTTACATCCCAAGTAGATGTGTAGCTTGTGGTATATGGGCGGCAGATGGATAACCCTTTTAGTAATCTCAAATACAGGGCATCCTGAGTAAGGTTGGGGATCAGGAAGTTTAAAGCATAGGTCTTGATTGAATTGACAGATAAACCAGAATGGAACTTAAGGGTAAGAAATTCTAAAGCCAATGGAACGGTATCAGATCCCTGTGTGTTAGACAGAAAAGAAATCTCCCATTCTTTGAATTCCTCGATCATCTTTCCATATCCTACCCTAGTTCTACGTCTTAAAGATGAGTTAATAATATTCAAGACCTGATCCGATAAAAGGGAATGTGTTAACAGCTTTCCAGGGCTGCGATCTACATCAGCTGCGGGAGCTTGAGCAGAAGATCGCTGGTTCCCTGAAAGCAGTCCACTGTCATGCCCAATGGGATCTTGGTTCCCTTGACTAACTGATGGATCAAGGGATACCAGGGTCTGGAGGTCCATACTGGATAAACGAGAACTAAGCTCTGCACCCTGTCCCTGCGGATCTTCTCAAGCACTTTCATCAGTAAAGATGGAGGGGGGAAAGCATAAGGGGCTGGAACATCCGTCTATTGGAAAGACATTGCATCCATATTCCAAGCTCCCTTTGTCCAGGTCCGGGAGACAAACATGGGAGTTTGTGCAGATGTTTAGGATGCAAACAGATCTACCTGTCTCTGGCCAAATTTGCTTTCTATCTGTTGGAAAAGAGCAATCTTTAATTGTATTGTTGCCGGGGACAAACTTTGGCGAAAGAGAGAGTCTGCAAGCTCGTTCGCCTCTCCCGGAACATATTCTGCGAAAACCTGAACATTGCTTGCTAAGGCCCAAGACCAAAGATCTAGAGCCTCTAAACAAAGACCCCTTGATCTTGTGCCCCCTCTGTGGTTTACGTAAGCCACCGCTCTCCTGTTGCCCGATTGGACTTTTACCGACGTCGGTGACTGGTTTAGAGGAACTAGGCCATGGAGAGCTAATTTTTTAGCTCATAACTTCAAGATGTTTATATGGAGGTGACTCTCTTGGTCTGACCAAATTCCTCCTATGGCGTTCTGAGCTGTAAATGCACCCCAACCGTGCCTTGAGGCATCTGACGTCAGAGTGACTGCCACAGGCTGCTCTAACAGGGGACGAGGAAGTGGAATTTCTAACTCCAGAATGGACTTCAATTCTTCTCTGACCTTCTTGGGGAGAACAAATTTTGATTCCCAATGGCCGCCCTGTCTTAGTCGATTCCCTAAAAACAGCTGACTTCTTCTGCAAAGTTAGGGGGGAATTGTTGTATGCTGGTGTAAAAGCTATTAATTTTCCGATAATCTTTGCTAGGCCTCTCAAGTACCAACTCTGGTGCCTGAGAGATGAGTTCAGATGTACCAATAATTTGTCCCATTTGTCTTGAGGGATTCCTAGAGACATGGTCCTGGTGTTCAGTATGAAACCCAGAAAGAGGATGCTTTGAGTGGGAATTAGGACTGATTTCTGTAAATTTACTACAAATCCTAGGTCTTATTAAAGGGAAGCAAGGTAATCCCTTTGAGAAGCAAGGGCTCCCCCATCTGGGTGCATGAGCAGGATGTCGTCTAGATAGTACAGACACATGAAACCTTTTAGTCTGACATGAGCTATCACTGATTTCATAATTCTGGAGAATGTGTATGGTGCGTTGGATAGGCCAAACACCATAACGGTCCACTGCCACACTTTTCCTTTCCACTGAAACCTGAGAAAACGCCTTGGCTATGGGGACTGAATGGAAGGCATCTTTTAGGTCTAACTTTATGCAGAAAAAAGCTTTCTGTACTAAGCCTGGAAGATCTGATAAACCCTCCACCCTGAACCTTTTCCTTTTGATTAAAGCGTTCAGAGACCTCACGTTTAGGACCGGTCTCCAGGAACCGTCTGATTTTGGGATTTGGAACAATGGGCTGGCCTATCCTGTAATAGACATGTCTGCCAACTCTATCTTCCCTTGACTTAAAGCTAAGGAAAGGGAGGGAATATGCGGTGGGTACAGAGATGTTAGCACACCCCCTGATGTACCGATCTCGTTGTAAGAAGGGAATACAAATAAACATGCCACAAATATTTTCAGGCATTAAATCTCTATATTAGTACTAGGGCCAAAAACCCTATGTTTTTTTCAAACCACTGAACTTACTGTATGGAGATATACCTTTAAAAGACTAGAGTCTGAGTCAGACATCTCTTAGTTAACCTTTATTTGTATCTATTTTATATTTTTAAACAATTAAAGCCGCTTTTTTCATATCTTCACCTGGAGTCCTGCATTTTGAGTGGAAGTGTCCAGGGGATTTCTCTAGCCCCCCATATCATCAGGGGTGGCACCATATATGCCTGAACTGTCCAATATCCTGTGAGTGCATTTCATATTGCGCAGTGTTAATATTTTAAAACTGTATTACACTATACCTCTTTTTATTTATCTTCATTTAGACAATCAGCCGGTTCCCTCGTTGTGTTTTGTATATATCTCTTAGTTAACCTCTGAAGTTACTATTGTCAGATAGGAATTTACAAGCTCTTAATAAACATAGGGTTTTTAGCACTAGTACTAATATAGAGATTTAATGCCTGAAAATATTTGTGGCATGTTTATTTGTATTCCCTTCTTACAACGAGATCGGTACATCATGGGGCAGGCTAACATCTCTCTGCCCGCCTCCCTGAGGTTATGATTCATTCCTGTGACTGCCTGTCACACATAACGCACCCCTTTTTACAATGGTATTGGCACATCAGGGGGCGGGTTAACATGAGGATATGATTCATTCTTGTGACTGTCTGTCACACACACCGTGCCCACTATGATAGGGCGCCCAAGGATTGGTTGGTTGACGGCATAGTGGGGCAGATCTTTTGATTGCCCTATCTTCTGGCTGGAAACAATTACACACCCACGACCGACGTGCCGTGTGGTGATTGGCCGCATGACTTCCTGAGGGGCATGACTTTCTGCTATTTAAACACACGCTGACTCTGACTCGGCTCTGCTCTTGAAAAAGGCACAACAGAGCGCCGAAACACGTTGAGCTGTGTCATGCCACTCCTTAGCTGCTTTTTATTTTAACAGGGATTCTATATGGAGTTTTACTTAGCTTTGATTAGCCTTTATTGTAGCTCCACAACAACCCGCTTGTTAACCTTAGGGATTGTATACTTCTATAGGTATACTACTGGGCTCATTCAGCACGGGGGGGCAGAATTTTGTTTCATGCACTATATAACTGACTAGACAGCCAATTCTATAACAAGCTGCTCTGCTATATTTACACTTGGGGTACAGTACAAAGTATCTAATTGGGAAATTATACTGACTTTTTGATTCCCAGACACTTTGAGATCTGCTATGTGAGAATATTTGGTCACCCTATTTAGCAGTGTTAGTATCTCTAGGTAATCGGCTAGTAGTGTGTCAACTGACAGGATTCCACTTTATAGCACAGTTCAAAGTGTTATAATTTGAGAAATAGGAATTCTGTCCTTTCCCAGACACTTTGTTACATTATAGTGCTATCTTTTTTATTCAAACCTGTCAGTATTACTCTATGCTGGGCTTCTATGTTTTTGTATGAGATGGTATATCGGATATAACACCTATGCCTATTTGACAGCTTTAATTTATAGTGCAAAATTGAGCATTCGCTTTTGGGAACTGCACTGACGTTCTGTCTTTCAGACCGAAAGACAGTGATTTAATCCCACTGTGCTATATGGAAACTCGATTTTTTGCCTATTTTTTACCCGCTTTATACTAATATTCTAGCTCTATAGATACCTGAGTGCTATTATACTATCTGGCGAGAGTAGGGGCTGGGCTGATCCGCCGTACTGCCTACACATTATGTACTGTATATGAGACAGATAATGTTATGTCAAGTGATTTCCTCTATAGGTGCACATTGATTTATACCCATATTGTACTCTTAAACTAGTCAGTATTTGGATCACTGCCAGTAAGCTCCATAGATCCCCCCTTTTTAAAACACGTTACACCTTTTTTTTCACATTGTGTGTTTTTCACAATTTATTTTAATGTCTGATGACGTAATAAAGGTTTTTCCATTTATCCCTTCCTTTAGCTACATGCCCATTTATTGAGCTGACTACTGTATTTAGGGTAAGACCTGCATCTATGCATTGGAATTAGGCTCCTGTAGTCTTTTTGGGGCCTCTTTTCCTATTGCATAGTCACGCAGGTACTTTTTCGTTTTCTCTTATTTGAGTTTCAATGAGTGTCAATGGACGGCGTGAGTTGCAAACAAATGGTCATATTGTGAAAACTATCAGGACTATGGCTTAGCCGTGGACATGTGTAGTGGCAGCAGGGATAGCTGAATGTTTTGATATTAGATTTGTGTAGGTGGGCTTGAAAATGAGGGAGTGGTGGCAGTTTAGAAAATCATGTCCTGATTTTTCAGCTCACACTGTCTATGACATCACTTCCTCTTTCTTTGCTGCTCCAGCCTGGCACAGGTCAGAGTATTTTGCCTTTCCTGATTACTTTTCATTCTTCAAATGGTCATATTTTAAAAACTATAAATCCTACAGTGAAGAGCTTTATATTGTGAGAAGATTTGTGTAGGTGAGTGATGGCAGTTTTGAAATCATGTCCTGATTTTTCAGCTTTTATCAGCTCCCACTCTAGTGTTGAACATTTCGCCATTCATTCCTATGGGACCAATTTCGCCACAAACATTATGATATTCCGTGAACCATTTGGCAAAATGTTCCACAGAGTAATAGCAATCCAATCGTGAACAATCCGCATGTTTCGGTATATTACTGTCTATATAGTGTAAAAACTGTGGGAGGAGTTAGGGTGGTAAATTTGGCTATAGTAAGAATAACAATAATATATATGTGAGATAACATTAAGTGGTCTTGCTATGGAAGAACACTTAATAAATCATATACAATATCCCTACATTTTTGTTTAAGTGGCACTGGATGAACAAGATAGGTGTTTTACTCATACTATCTAAACAACTGTGAAATGTCCTCTTATAATTGAGATAAATGCACCATTGTGAAATGTTTTGCAAGTAGTAGAATATAAGCATATATCAAGTGGAGAATGGACATTGAGTGGAGACTCGTGATGGGCATTTTAAGAACATACCACATTCCATCTATGTTTGTGTTATCAGACCATGAAATTACCATTGTAAAAATGAAAGCTTTAAGGTAGTTTCTTGCCTGGTACAAGATTTTTATATTCTCATGGACTAACATCAAACATATTTGAGTATTTGGGTATTTTTAACTAAATACAATGATGCTTCTACAGTTTGCAAGATAAGAGCTGTAGTAATTGTCTATGATATCATACTGGTAATATGTTGCAGTAGGGAGCTTTTAAAACTCAGACTTGCATAAGGCACTGGTTCAGCTGGAGATGATCTGAGCAATGTCCTGGATTGCAGTAGGGAACTTTTAAAACT